TTTGCTATATTTAGGAAGATTAACTTTTCCTTTCATTACTGTATTTAATGCACTGAACAATCACATCAAAATGGCAGCAAACTTTGTTACTTTTTTTTCATAAATACACCTGCCTGAGCTAAAGATGTAAAAGCACTTTGATGAAAAATCACAAGAAGTTACCATTGATGCACACTGCTGCACATCAGGGGTGAAGAGTTCTAACAAGAACTCATAAAATGCTTGTATGAATACTGAATGAAAATAATTCAAATGTGGTTATTTATATTAATTTTATGCAACTATATATACTTAACTATGCAGTAATTACTTAATCTTATAAGATTATTAAAGTGATAGCATTATACCCAGTTGCGAATTGTTGCTTTATAAAATCTGTAAAGGAACACACAAACAAAAAAATGTAGTAAATACAGGCTGCTAACAGCTCCCTGACACTGTCTGATGGGTTTTGATGTGTTAGATTGATGAGATAATGAACAGAGATGCTCATTAGGTTTGATTTTGATTTGGGGGGTTATGCAATTTGATTTGCAGCGCCTGTTCACAGCGAACGGCCCACGGTGTTTCTGCTCCCACGTCAAGCTGCGGTGTTAGGGACCATCACAAAATTACAGGAAGAAATGATCAGCGTTTCAACAGCCTCTCATTAATATCTCTACATCTAATCCATATTTCTGTTAAACTCTCTTGCCATTTGACCTCATCCCACATGAATGTTTCTGTGTGCGTTTAATTTGAGGTTGTTGAAACGTTGATGCTGATAATTGCTTCTAATCTAATCATTAGAAAGTGCAGTTTAGTGAAGATTGTGGTTGTAGTTTGTTGTCTTCCTTCATTTCACCACCAAACTGCAGCTGCACTGATGAATCTGTGGGCTGTTTGCTGTGAAGAGGAGCTACAGTGACCTCATAACCCCCCCAAATCAAAATCAGACCTGATGAGCATCTCTGTCCATCATCTCATAAATCTAACACATCAGAACCTGTCAGACAGTTTCAGGGAGCTGTTAGTTACTTCTGCATAGGACAAATAACACGACCTGTATTGATTTTGTGCCCAAATCAAAAACCAAACGATTAAAAGACTGCATTCAGTTAAAATATGACCACGATTAAAAGAAAATGAGAGAATGGATTAGAAAATCATGATCACGAATTTAAAATAACATACCCACAAAGTAAAGAAAGCATGCGCACGATTAAAAGAAAATGAGAGAACGATTTAAGAAATCGTGACCTCAAATAAGAGAAAATGTGCGTACAAACTGCAAAACGTTCACTCAAATTTATTTTTTTTTACCTCCGTACCCTTCGGGGCTCCATAGACTGGCAGTGATAAAGGTTTCATCAGCAATTGCTTGTTTTACCCTGGGAGAGTGGGTCTCTCTTGGAAGTTCTATAAAAATTTTAAGTTTTGTAAAAACAGGATTCCTACCTGTAATTACAGATACTGTATCAAAAGCTGATGGATTGTGGTGTATGGTTACAATTTGTAATATGACAGATACAAGCTGCTTCATGGAAACACAAGTTTATTGATGCCATTATTGAACACTTGGCAATTTGTTGAATTGTAGCATTAACATGACCCTATTGGAATGTTAAACTTGATTTATTCTACACAGGAAAGAAGGCTATTGGAACAGAGGAAGAGTCAAGTGGAGAGATAGCGGGTAAGATGAAAACTATCACTCACTCAGTTATACATGCAGAATATAATACAGATAACAATAAATATTGTTCTTTTTCTGTGTTTTAAATCTTGAGACTGGAACAGTAAACAAGATGGCATGTATAGTAAAGTAGTAGATTTAGTGTCATAGTCAAAAAAACTGAAGTATACTATAATATTATTAAACTATTAGTGTGTTCCATTCTGAAGGCAGCTGCCTAACTAGTCACTGCCTTCAAAAGCACCTCTCTCTTTGGGCAGCATTTTAACCGAAAAGGAACCTTAGCAGGCATCGTATTCGGGACCCATCTCTACAGACCCGTCATACGTCATAACTTCCACTGCGCTGTACACATTTTATCTGTTTACTCTCAGTCATTCACCTCTGACTGTAAAGGTGCATCACCTCAGTGTAAAAGGACAGCTGGCTCTTGTTTCTGTAGCAGCTGTTTTCCTTGCATTGACACTGTGGTGGAAATTTGTGTTTGAAGAACAGGCTGACTTTAAGGAGTCGTATCTGATATGATATACTCGACTCGGCACCCCAGATAGATACAGATAATCATGACTGTAAGTTTGTGAATCATTTCGATTCATTCACTGTCTTAATTGACCTAAATGAACTTGCTTTATGTCTAACATAATTTTGTACAACATGCATCCAAAAAATATTGCATTTTATTTTATGCATTTTCATCTGATTCATGAGCTCCTAGTCTGAAATTTAGCCTTCAACATTCACTTAACGCTGATTTGACTGTGATGAGCATCGCAATACAAGACAAGCAGAGCTGGCAAAGATACGTATTTGTGATATTTATTTTTAAAAACATTTAATTTCTGAAATTCTATTGTTCAGGGAGAATGTCAGTCTACTGTGCTGCTTCCACCATGTTTTCCCCCACCATAGGCTCGGCAAGTGAGCTGCCTTCAGTCGTTCAGCACAGTTTTCTCCCCATAACTGCTTCTCTTCCTCAGCTCCTCAGCCAGCACCTCTCCACTGCTGTAACATTAGTTTACAGAGGACAGAAGAAACGTCTGAGTACAGAATCAAACCAATGATTTATTTACAAATAAAAGGTGCTACAAAAACAGTGAACAGCCAATATTTTACTTTGGAATCTCTCGCGTTTTAAAGAGCTGGCACATTTACAGAGTTAGCTAACTAACATTAGCTTCACCTAACGAGTTAGCTACAAACTGTCAGGTCGCGTTAGACAAGCGAACTCCCAAAATTTTTACCACAGGAACAATTTCTAGATATCTACAAACGCAAACATGTTAAATAATTTACACAAATACAATAATCAATCAAAACAGTAAAGACAGAAGTCATGAAATAACTTACATTTGTCGACTCCTCAGTCTTCAGAAACGGCCGCTTTGTTCGCCATGTTTATCAAACTGAAGCGATGGAACTCTCAGCTGGTGAGCAGGTGAACAGTATTATGGAATTGCCCTCGCTGAGAAGGATACATGTGATGCTACCTTTAGATTTGGTCAAATTAGGGCACCTTAGAAGGCAGCTGCCTACTGCTGCCTTCCGAATGGGACAGCCTTTGCCTCGGGAGCGCGCAGATGCTGCCTTAGAATGCTGCCTACTTAGACAGCTGCCTCCTGATTGGAACGCACCATATTTTTCATTCAAATTCAAGTTTCAGTCTGACTTAAGGTGAATTTGGAATAACATAATTAAGGCAACAAGTAAATCCAGTGGTCTTGTCTTGCCAAGTTCTGTCTTCAGAATCTTCAACCATTGATGACTCGGATGATGAGGAGATGAAGCCTCCTTCAAAGGGCAAGAAAGCAAGATCTACAAAGCAAGATGATCTGGGGCGCACTCGAAGTAATAACTGTTATTGATTATGATGTTATTTTGCAATGGTTCTTTGGTGTGTCTGTGTTCAGATATTAAATTTGTTTTACATTACTTCTTTTCTACAGCAAAAACGGTTCGTGGAGTAATACTGCGTTACAAGCGTGCTCTACAAGCCTTTAACCAAGGTGGGTCAATGAAGAGGGCTTTCCAGAAAGTGGGAGTGGACCGCAATACCATCTCCAGGACCTCACCAATTGCTGAGCTTGCCCTAGCAGCACCTGGTGTCTTTCAGGCTCTCCCCCCATGGAATTCTCAAGTCGAGAAATTGTCCACATTTGTGGACAGGTGTCGAGAGGCCACAAATGATGAAATCAAGGAAAAAATCATACAGATGAAAGCATGTGGAGAACTGTTACCTATGACTCACTGAGGTGTAGTTCAGTAGTAAAAATGTTGTTCAGTTCAGAAGAAATTTGTTCTTTTTGAGGGAGCAGATTTTCCAGATTTTCTTAAATTTTTGAAACTTGTTTTGTCAAGTTAATTTTCTTTAAAAAATAGCAGACTTAAAGAAATGTTGGCCAATCAGTCTAATGCTCATTAGGCTATTGAATAAAGTATTTGTATATCTAATTTTTTTTTTTTTTTTTCAATTTCTATGTTTGTAGAGATTTTACATTTTGGATACAGTACATGGCATTGAGATTGTTAAAGTTTCTTTTGTTTTGAATGACAGAGCTTTTGTTATATAAAGGAAAAGTCTGTAACGATTGGTTTAGAATTTAACATCAAAGAATCTGTTTTACTGGAAAACCAAAGTATGATTTGTTTGAAATTCTTTCCATACATATACATCATTGCCTTTTCGATGTAAAAGTTTATTTTGTCAATAAATGAGTCCTTGTTCAAGTACAAACTGGTGATTCTGGTATTCTGTTTTGACCTTCTTATTTGGGGAATCTCACTTTACTTAAAGTCTGTAAAGAGCACTTATAGTGCTTTATAAGTTGGTATGTGCTTATGTTAACATGGATTGCTTAATAGAGCTGACCAATATCATCACTTTACCTAAAGTCTGTAAGAAGAGCTTGTAAGTTTTTATTAGATGTTATGTGCGCTCACAAAATCATTTTCATTTTGAAGATAATGAGGAACATTAGAGAATACATAGGTTAGAGTGGACGCATGCTTTTATCACTATGGATCTTTATAAAGCATCATGTCAATCAATAGAAAATTTGTTATTAAGCTTTATGATACTGGTCTCACAACAATGTTAAGAACAGGAAAAATGTGTGTTATAATGCTTTATGTCACTTTGTGCTATGAAGCCTTATACTGTGGTGTTATAACAATGTATGTGTGTGATTATGAGTGTTTACGTACAGTTACAAAGGCTTATGTTAAGCATTATAAAGCATTATGAATGCTTTATAGAGCTTTATGAATGCATTTATAAGGCATTATGGATACCTGATTCATAGAAAGTGTTACCCGAGTTTTTTTTAGCATGTCTGGACTAAGCAGCACCTCTTTACCCTGGCTTCTGGAGGAACCTGTTCTTTATGGGTCTCACCTGGACATATCAAGCAAAACGTCCCCCGCACTGGTCAGGGTTCTGGTTTCCTCCAACATCTTTACCCTCCATCAGCTGGTGGAAGTTGCAGGACCTGGTCTGGACTGTGTGGAGGACCTGGCGGTGCGCTTGGGAGTAAGGTCCAAACTTTCTGTCTCTTTCTCTCTCTCTCCCCTTCTCTCTCTCTCTGCTGCATGCTCGGAGTGGGCGGAGCGTTTGCGAGTGTGTGTGAGGGAGAGTGTGCCTTTTCTTTTTCCTAGTGTTTGTGAAGAAGGCATGTTTAGTGAATGAACTGGTGGAAGGTGGAATCTGGGTGTTGGTGACTTTTGTGCCGATGTCTCCATTATTTACACCGGCAACAAAGGTCACCGTCTCCAATATTCCTCCTTTCATCTCAAATGAACTGATTACCAAGGAGCTGAATCGCTCTGGAAAGTTAGCAAGTGAGATTTAGTCAATTCCACTGGGCAGTAAGAACGCGACACTGAAGCATGTCCTGTCCTTCAGGAGGCAGGTGTTTATGTTCCTAAATAGTGCGGATAAAACACTCGAGGCCGCGTTCCGTGTGTCTCATGGTGACGGTTCATGTACGGTGGATGCCAGCATGGACGATCTGAAATGCTTTAAGTGTGGGAGCGTTAAGCATAAACGGTTTGAGTGTCCGTTAAAAGAGCGGAGGAACACGCAGGAGAACCAGGCCTCCACTGCAGTGGAAACGAGTGGGGCCCCGGAGGGGGGTACTAAGAATAACGCTCCTGAAGAGCCAGGTGAGGGTTCACCCAATTAAGAAGAGAAACTGGTGATGAAACAGATTGTGGGTTTCAAAATGGTGCTCAAGTGAGTGGAGAGGCTAGTATTCAGGTGTGGGGTAAAGTGGGTGCTATGGTGACTGGTGAGGCTAGTGGTCAGGTGAGCAGCGAGGATGGTGCTCAGGTGAGCAGTGATGTTGGGGCTAAGGTGACTGGTGAGACTGGTGTTCAAGTGTGGGATGAGGCTGGTGCTCAGGTGCAGGCTGGACTGAAGGTAGGGGGGAGCAGTGCTGAAGAGCAGGAATCTGAGTTAGTGAGTGATGCTCAGTCAGGTTTACCTGTGTCTCAGGAGGAGGGTATGGAGGAGGACAGGATGTCTGAGGTGTCTGATGTGGGAGGAAGTCAATACAGCAGTGAGATATTATACTCTGTTAATCAGATTAACTCTTTCTTAGATGAAACCAAAGGTAAGTCTGTTGATATAAGAGACTTTTTCCCGGACTTTCCCGGATTTGTCTGTTCGGCATTGAAGGTACAGATGAGTGTTTGTTATGACATTCTCCCAAAGCAGAAGCGGTTTCGTTTAAAAAAGCATATAACCGCAATCAGAGAGGCAAAATGTATAAAGATGGGCGTTTTCTGCTTTACTGCTTGCTCTCACTTTTCCCTGTCTATATGGGGTTTTTAAGGGTAGGCTCCTTAAATGTTAATGGGTTCAGGGACAGACATAAACAGGTCCTCTTTTCTGAACTTGTTGGTCTAAAAAAGTTAAGTGTGTGTTTTGAGAGAAAGTATAGGTCTTTTCACATTTGCTTTCTTCTATGCTCTAACCCATGTTGTCTTTTTGTTGTGTCAGCTGTATTTGTCTTACAGTTGTGTGCCTTTTGGTGTTTTATCTGTATTGTTCCCCCTGAAGTGAGAACAACCTCACCTTACCCCTGGGGTCTTCCCTGACCCCGGACCCCCTTCCCCTTCTTCCCCAACCTTTTGATTGTCACCTACTTCCCCTCCCTCTTTGCTTCCTCCCCCGACCCCCAGTATCTCTACATAAACCATGTCAGACCATGTATTCAGCAGACTGGACTCCAGACTGGACTGCAGACTGGACTAGACTAGACTGGTGACCAGACCAGACTGGTGACACACTGATGCCCAAGCTGTGCCCGTGCATGATTGTCTGCATGCACGTGAATAAGACTAGACTTCTGATCCTGCTGATTGACTGCTGATCGACCACGCTGTACCCATACTCTGTATGTGGAAATAAACTCCAGTCAATGCTGAAGCTCCAGTCTCCTGACTCTTGGTGCTGAATTTCTAACAGTTTCTTACAAGAAACACACAGTGATGACAATACAGCTTCTGAATGGGGTTTATGCTGGGAAGGGGAGTTTTTTCTGAGTCACGGTTCAAACGTTAGTGCCGTTGTTGGTATCCTTTTCTCTCGATGATCTTTGGTTAATGTACTGTCTGTTAATGACGTTGTAACGGGATGCTTACTAATGTTAAAAGCAAAGGTCTATGACCATGTCTTTGTTTTTATAAATGTGTATGCCCCAAACAGAGGGCCAGATAGAAGTAAGCTGTTTATTAGACTGGACCAGTTGTTGCAGACACTCCCCCCAGAGGACACTGTGGTGACATTTTGTATGAGAAGGCAAAGGGAGCTTTGGTCAGATCCAGGTTCCTGTCTGTGAAGGATATGGACACTCCCACGGCTTTCTTTTTTAACTTGGAAAAGTCTTCCACCCACAATAAGACATTGCTGTCAGTTCGTAAAGATGATGGTACAGTCATAACAGACCCAGTTGAAACTGTTTTAACTGTCAACAGTGTTCCCAGGCCCTGCTTGAAGATCTGCCTCAGCTGGATGAACAACACAAGCAGGAAATAGACAGTCCATTGACTTTTGATGAAGTCACCAAGGCTGTTTCTCAGCTCACTTCCGGGCGAGCACCTGGTGTGGATGGTTTGCCAGTCGACTTCTGTAAGGCGTTCTGGGGGATCATCGGGAGGGACTTGTTTGAAGTTCTGTTGGCTAGCTTTAATGCTGGTGTACTTCCGAAAAGCTGTCAGCGTGCTGTTCTATCTCTCATACCGAAGAAGGGAGATCTTTGTCTCCTGAAGAATTGGAGACCAGTGTCACTTCTATGCTCGGATTATAAGATTCTGTCACGCTCTATCGCAAATAGACTGAAAAGAGTTCTGGGAATGCTTCTAAATGAAGCTCAGTCCTACTGTGTACCAGAAAGATCTATTTATGATAATCTGTTTTTAATAAGAGATTTATTTCATTATGGTAAAATGTTTGAATTGGAGTTTTTGTTTGGTTTTGTATCCCTTGATCAAGAAAAAGCTTTTGATCATTTGGATGATAACTATCTTTTCGATACTCTGAAAGCTTTTGGGTTTGGGAATGTTTTTAAGTCTTGGGTCAGGTTGTTGTACACAGGTGCCTCTTGTCTATTTAAGGTCAGAGGGGATTTGAGTGTCCCTGTTCTAGTGGGCAGGCGGATTAGGCAGGACTGCCCACTGTCTGGACAGCTGTACTCAATTGCAGTCAAACCTTTACTCTGGTTATTTGGTTAAAGACTGGCAGGTCTACAGTTTGATAACAGTCTAATTAAGGTCTCTGCGTATGCAGATGACATTACTGTGATAATACTGTGAGAAAAATGTTTTAAATATTTATAATTTAGCTACCTCAGCAAAACTAAATTGGGGGAATACAGAGACTCTTTGGTGTGGTTTCTAGCAGTAGAAACTTTTCTTTACCTCCACTTCCAGGTGGAGTAGGACAGGGCAAAAGTTTTTAGGGGTATGGTTGGGCACTGATGAAGTAAAGGCTAGGAACTGGGAAGGGGTAGTGGAGAAAGTCCATGCCAGGTTGTCTAAATGGTCTCGGATTCTACCCCGGCTATCCTATAGGGGTTGAGTTCTGGTCGCAAACAACCTCATTGCATCTGCTTTGTGGTATAAGCTTACTGTTCTTAATCCACTAGGACAACTGATTTACAACATCCAGAAGGAGCTGCAGTCCTGTATCTTCCTGTGCAGGAGGGAGGACAGGGACTAATAGACATTCGTTCCAGAGTGGCTGTTCTACGTTCGCAGGTGGTGCAGCGGTTGCTGTATCATGGCCGTCACAGCTGGATGGATGTTGCCTGTACTCTCCTGAGGGCTGCTGGTAGACGGGGCCTGGACAGACACCTGTTCTCTCTTTCTTTGAGAGCAGTGGATTTAAGTGGACTGACTGCTTTTTACTCAGCTGCTGTGGAGGCATGGCAGCTCTTCTTGTTCTCTAGGGAAAGTGGTGCTGCACCATCTGTGTGGATTTTTGAAGAGCCACTGTTAACCCAGCGTTTCCATCGCTGAGCCAGGTTTCAGGGGCTCTGAGAGTGGACCTACAGGAAAATGGCATCTCCAAAGTCCGCCACTTATGGAGAGGTATGGACTGGGTGTCAGCGGAACAGCCTGTGGAAGTCTGACCTGTCTTCTTCTGTGTGTGATTACCTGGACATGACCCCTGTAGACCAGTGCCAGAGTGAAGAGTCTGTTTTTCCTGAACTAGTGATAGATTTGAGCAATCCAGAGATGCAAAACTGGCAGGAGGGTCAGAGGATGCTCTTGTCTTTGGGAACCCTGACTCTTGGTCTCTTTAGTACTCTCACCAAGAGGACTTTGTATCTTGCATGTGAACTTTCACAGCTTGTGAGACGTGCGAGAGTCTAAATGGACAGAGGTTGTTCAGGCTGGCTCTTCCCCGAAATGTAGCTGGCGGTCCCTGTACAAAAGACCCATCGAGAAGAGGCTGGGAGACCTCCAGTGGAGGATTGTACATGGGATTTTAGCCACAAACAAAAATGCGGCACTTATTGATCCATTAGTGGGAGATGGTTGTCCTTTCTGTGAGATGTCAGAGACAGTGTCTCATGTTTTTCTTCACTGTGCACGCTTAGGTCCAATTATGGGTTTAATTAAGGACTGGAGCTTGAAGTTTTTAGGCTCTTTTGATCAGAGTTTATTTATTTATGGTCCAAAGTACACAGTTTCAAAAAGTTACAAGGTGGTACTTTTACATTTTTTGTATGGTGCAGCTAAGTAAGCTATCTGGTGTACTAGGAAGAACAGCACAAAGAGCTGTGGGGGGTACTGACCCAGTTCTGATGGTCAGGGGATTGGCCATGAAACGACTCCTTGTTGAATTTACCTATTACACCCTTGCTGACAATGTGGACTATTTTGTTGCTGTATGGGGGGGGGTTGCTTTGTGGGCCTGATGAACCCGGTGGGTTTGTGTTAAATGTGTGAACTGACCTCTCTGTAACTTGGCTCAGATGTTTTTTGTTTTATTTGCCTTTTCTTTCTTTGTATCTGTCTATCTTTGTATCAGCCCCCGGTACAGCCCCCCCAGTACAGCCCCCCCCAGTTCATCCTCCTGGTACAGCTGCCTAGTTCATCCCCCTAGTACAGCCCCCCCCCAGTTCATCCCCTTCGGTACAGCCGCCCGGTACAGCCCCCAGTTCATCCCCCCAGCACAGCTGCCCAGTTCAGCCCCCTGGTGTAAGCAGTGCAGCCCTATTTGTCAGGGTACATGTTCAGACAGTGGATCTGAGTGAACAAAGTCGTCCACTCAGCATCTCAGTGAATCTACAGAGAACTCCAGCTTCTGGACGCTGAGTGACGAGAACTTCATCATGAACACGTGAGGAGAACTAGAGAGACGAGAATCAGGACACAGTGAGACACTCAGAGAGAGACTCTGAGCTGGAGCAGCGAAACGTGATGCTCCTTACATTCGAGCAGATTCACCAAAACTGTGTTCAGCTTCATTAGAGCTTTGATCTCACGGCAGCAAATCAAACACAACTCAATATAGAAGATAAAAATCTGCAGGTTTTACAGAAACAACCCTGCAAAACTGTCATCTTAGGAAAACTGTCTTAAATCTAGCAGATAAATCCAATATTCCTCATTTTGAGACTGTTTATTATAACAGTATTTTACTTGGTTCTAGATATTTGTGATATTTGGTTCTAGTGATTTTAGTGAGTCAGATTATCTCCCTATTCTGCCTGATTGTTTTGTAAGAAACGTGCTTGAAACAGGAAACATTATCAATCAGTACAGTGAGATTATCTGACTCAACAAAATCACTTAAAACCTGTAAAGAATGTAGAGAAATAAGTTCAATAATCCTTTAATGAGCTTCTTACAGTCTCAACATCAGAAATCCACATGATCTAATATTTCAGATCATTTCACTTGATGCAATATTATTTTCATAGTGAAGCAGCTGCAGAGACTTTATTTTGTAAAGCTATTATGCGTGTGAGGAACCTAACGTGCTTTATGTTCTATCAACGGTCAGAACTTGAGCAGAACTTCACTGGCCTGTTTACACTCAGATTACAACGAATCTCTGTAATCTCTCGCATTATTGAGCTCTAATTGTTTTTGACCAAAAAGTCCAGAATATCCACACGGAAAAAAATAAATTGTAAAAAAAACGGTAAGATGTCTGGCAGCAAAAGTTGCCAAAAGTTCCCATAATTTTACAGTAAAATACTGTACAGTGGATTAAAATTACAGCTTTTCCCTGTAAATATTCTGTGTAATTTTACAACCAAAGTTTAGTAGAATTACAAATTTTCATCATTAAAAACATCTCTAGAATGTATTAAAACCACAGAAATACTGCACAAATACACTCAAAGTCTGCAATTTGAGGGTTGCTATTTTTTAAATAACTGTGTAATTAGATTGTTTCTTAGAATTATTTAATCAGTTTACAACATGCACCTGTCAAAGTACAGATTTTTAAAGTAAAATAAACATTATTTAAATTAGCGATCACTTTACTGTCTTTTCAATCCTATTAAACATTTTTCAGCAGACATAATCTGTCAATAAATGTTCTTATCCTACAAATTTACAGTGGATAACAGTTAATTGTTGGTTAATCTGCCTACCAACTATTATAATGTACTGTTTATCCACAAGATACTGCTGTTACAGCACTGGATTCTACTGTTTATATACACAAATACAATGCAAAATTATATGTAATTACCCCAATATTAAAGTCAAGGGTTAACATTTTTATTTTATCATTCAGTACATTCACAGAAATTTGCCATTATTAAAAAATTATATACCATAATTTTGTGGTCATTTTGTTATATTCCAGTTTTTATACAGGAGTCAATATACTCAATTACATGAACATTCTGCACAATTACCTTTTACTTCAGCAGATAAAAGAATGGTGTACTTTAATTTTACATAAATACACAACAGTCAATACACTATTGCTCTTTTAAAAGAATGTAAAACCTTTGGCCAGAACAATAAAACCTCAACAATAATACATACTTTCAATCTTTTTATTTTGATAGTTGAACTTTAACAATCATGACATCACCCAGCAACCTAGCATTCAAAATAAACACCACATGGGGGCAAAAAGATAACTACTGTGAATCTTTCTACAGTTTTAAAGAATTATAATAATGTGTGTCTAAAACATAAACAATAATGTGAATTAGAGCACTAATTACCTCCTGTATCATTCTTGATTCATCTGTAGTTTGGACTGTAACATCATGCACTTACTGAAACATTCAGATTGGAACTGCATGAGAAAAAAGTTTCTTAATTTCATTTACACTAAAATCAAAACCAGCAACCTGAAGGACAAAGCAACCACACTACACTCAGGACTCAGCTACGCTGAATATGCCTCTAGAATGAGGGCTTTTAATTGGCTAATACAAAGCACAAGTGTCAATAACAGAACCTAGTACTGCAACAGTTATTACTGTCCTTAAAATGGGTCCACACACAGCTGTTAAGATGGAAAGTGTGCTGACAATACAAACCCCGAAAAAATTGGGACATTTTGTAAAACGCTATACAAACAAGAATCTGTGACTTTTATTTAACACACAAAAGTACAAAGAAATTATTTTTAATGTTTTGGCTGATGAACTTAATTGTATTTGTGAACATAAACACATTTTGAATTTGATGCCTGAAACACACTCAAAAAAGCTGAGAGGGGTAAAACAAGAGTGAAAAGTTTATAGAATATTCAAGTTACTCCATTTTGAAATTCCACAACAAGCTGGTGATCTGGTAACGTGTGATTGTATCAGTTCAAAAAGAACTTTGCTCACCACAAGACTGCAAAGATTTAGGTCTCTCATGATTTACTGTAGATAATAATTTAAAAAGATTCAGGGAATCTGGAGAAATCTCAGTCCATGTAGAGCAGGGCTGGAAACCACTGCTGAATGTGTGTGATCTTCAAGCCCTCAGACGGCACTGCACGAGAAGGGAGGGAGTACTTCAGGAGTACTGTGGAAAACCGTTGTGACTTAACAGTCGCTACATCAAGAAATGCAGAATTAAAACTCTACTGTAAAGGAGAAAGCTGTACATCAATTCTAGGCAGAAACAGTGGTGAGTTCTCTGGGCCTGAGCTCATCTCAGACGGTCTGAAAGACAGTGGAAATGTGTGCTGTGGTCAGATGAGTCCACTTTTCAGCTTGTTTTGGGGAAAAATGGATGTTGAATTGTCCATTCAAAAGATGAAAGGGACCACCCAGACTTTTGTCAGTGAAAGGTGCAAATGGCAACATCTGTCATGGTAGGGGTCATCAGTGCCCATGGCAGGGGTGACCTACATATGTGTGAAGGTACCACTGAGGCATTTATTGGGATTTTAATGAGACATATGCATCAAGACAACGTCTATTCCCTGAAAGTCCATGGTTATTTCACCAAGACAGTGCCAGGCCTCATTCTGCATGTGCTCCAACAGCATGACTATATAGACACAGAGTGTGTGAGCCTTACAGGCCTGCCTGCAGTCCAGATTGGTCTCCTATTGAACATGCATGGCACATCATGAAGAGCAGAATCAGACAACAACCACCACAGATTGTTGAGCCGGAACTCAATGAGTTCTAAGCATGAATGGGCAAAAACTTTAATTATATGCAATGCTCACATCAAATATCCCATAGAATGACATGTCACTGTTCATCATCACTGTGCACTTTTGTTTTCTTCATTCTCAGTCCACTCACCCTTAACCGTCTCTACATAACTGTTTAAAGATGAACTCTGAGAAAGATGACAGTCATCTGAGGAGGCGTCCGTAAGGAAGACAGTTCCATAACTCCAGGCTTTGGGCACTGTGTGATCTCTCAATGATCTTGTTAGCTACCATTAAAGCAGTGACCACTGCCTCCCCTGTGAAAAAAGAAAATCAAACATTTCTCTGTTTTAGCCTGTAACCTGACGCATCCTGTGCACTTTTAAATCCTTTTAGCATCCATACCACTGTAACCTGCAAAAAAACTGAAATCATGATCACGGTTGTTGTTGTTATCATCAGTAATTATAGTATTAATATCTGAATTAGCTGATCAACTGGAAGTTACTGGCCTTTGATGACTGATTTGCCACTTTTCTCTGCTCTATGTCATTGTAACTCAAGCCTTTAAGACTTTGTTGTCTGATGATTTCTAAAAAAAAAATATCTTGAATCACAGTATGTGCAAGCTGTAGTGAGAGCTGAACGATATTAGGAAAATATCTAATTGCATTTTTTCTGACCAATATTGCAATATCTATTTAAATGCAGTTATCTTCTGTAAATTAATATAAATTGTATATTTTTTTGGGCCAAGACAACCAGAACATCCACTTTTTCTGGCTTGAGGTGCTGGAACACTGAGTGAGCAAGACTACTATTTAGTGATTATCACATACACAGCACATGCATTGATCAAACTCATCTACAGGAAGTTCACAAGCTCTGTATGATTTGTTGAAATTTCCTCATTTAAACCTTGTTAATATATATTTTCTATAATAAATACTGCAGCTCTTGTGATTTAAATATAAAAGCGATTAATCTTTCAGGCCAAGCTGTAGGACAAACAGCAACATTCCAGCCTTCATACTGCATCATTACTTCATTTTCTAAATGTTATGTGAACATAACTAAAAAACATACCTTGGTCATGTCCCTTTGCTTGTAGGAATCTTTTGAAGACGTGGGAACACAGCAAAATGTGTCCCTGATGCAGCGCTGAACAGAGGTTTTCTGACAGGGGCAGAAGTGACCAAAAAAACAAAAACAAAAAAAAAAACAGAAAAAGCACAAGAAACAAAACGAGAGTTAAAATTGTAATTACTGTTTAAGTAAAGTTCCCAAACATTTTCACTGGGTTTTCATTACTACCCTAATCGGGCTGATAACAATTATCACATGCAGCTCTTTGTACTTCTATCAAGAGCTACATCTTTCACCTTTATTGTTGCTGCCAGGTCAGCACATTAAATAAGTTCAGTAATACATCAGTGACCACTACAAAGTAACATTTGATATTGTTTGCCTAAACTGAATTTAACAGATGCACCATCACATTAAATTTCTAAGACTAATGTACCTAAACATTTTAAAGGGATTATAAACAATACTATGCAAAATTCTCAATTATATGTATTATATTCAAATCTATTGATCTGGGCAGTAAATGCTATTATTTAAAACATTAAATACAAACAAATAAAGAATATTTTTTTTAACCTAAATACCATCCAATGCATAGGCTGGATCTCACATGGCTCCCTACTCCCTACATAATGCACAATATAGGCCTTAACATATAGCTCCTCCACTCAAGAAGGCAGGTATCTGAGATTCAGCACTAGCTTATCTAATCAATCCTCCATTAAATTAAATCAGCAGTGCTGGAATTTAACAAATCCATTCTGAACTGCAGTGAGAGATCAGGATTCAGAACTGAGTTCCTCTGTTTTCTTCTAACCAGCATATTAATACCAGCAAAAACACTTTTATTGCCAAGATGAATTGTTTTAAGCAATGTTCTAGACTGCCTGTGACTTTTGCACAGCACTTTATTTAAGGTGCTTTACTGCAGACATTATTTCACTGAACACTGAACATTATAACTTTATTATAACTCCTGAAGGACGTCAGTAAACTTTCAGGTTTCTCCTTTGTTTCTGTTTGCATTTACTAGCTAGCTAACAGTTACTGCATCTCTCTCTCTCTGACTCTCTCTCTCTCTGTCTCTCTCTCTCTTTCTCACTCTCTCTCTCCCTCTCTCTCTCTCTCTCTGATTCTCTCTCTCCCTCTCTCTCTGACTCTCTCTTTCTCACTCTCTCTCTCTCTGTCTCTCTCTCCCTCTCTGACTCTTTCTCTCTCTCTCTCTCTCTCTCTCTCTCTCTCTCTGACTCTCTCTCTCTCTCTCTGTGTGTACTCTACTATACCTGCCCCTGTGTCCTCAACTTATTCAAGCTATTCAGTCACTCATACGGCGATTCCTCAGCCGCGGTTCATTGTGAAAGGAGCCCAAAATACCAAAAACCCGCGACTTTCAAAACTTCACTCACGGCTTCATTTTCAAACGAGCCCAATTTGGCGGGAAGTCCGCGGACCTCTCTGTCTGCGCTCTCTGTCCGGGTTTACATCTAATCAAACGCTCCTACGGCGAGTCGCTTATCCGCTCATAAAGCCGCTCAGTTTCTGTCTGTAGTCAGTCGTTTTGGCCGCTACTGTCGTTTTCAAAAGAGCCCAGTTTGGTGGCGAAGCAGCGACCCTGGCGACTCTGGGGTCAACACGTCAGCTGCGGTGCTGTTTTAAAAACGTTAAATCCGGACACTCCGGCCAACTCAGCTGACCCCCCTGTTAGCTTTCACTAAATCAACTACACTAAATGCAGAGTCAGCCGTTTTCACTGCAGCGAAGCGGCAGGTCTGAAAAATAAAACCAAGTCGCCTCGGAGCTGAACATGAAGACACGGTGTGAACGGAGACTCCGGTTCAGCCGGGCTGGTTTCTCCTGTGTGAACGCGCTCCCGGTGCAGCTCGCGCTCAGATTCAAACAAGTGATTCTCCACATTCATTGGCTGAGCAGATCATAACCACGACTTTGTCCAATGAACACAACAGAGAACACAACAGAGAACTGCCTGCTAAACTTATTTTTTGTGGTTTCAAAACTTTAATTCTACCAAATATAAGACAACAATATACATTTGAGCTGATATTACAATTTACTGCCTGTTTTAAAGAGAAGGGTTATGAATTTCTGAATGGTTTGACAATTATTTGAATTATTTAAACCTCATTTTAGTAAAAATATCTGGTCTGATGCTGTTTGTCAGTTGATAATATGGAAGTTTAAATTAATTTACCATACATTTACTGTTTTAAAACAACAAACTACTGTTAGGTTACAACAGGCAATGGAGTTGTTATATTATTATTACCCTGTATTGAAAGTAATTTTTTAGGACAGTTGGGTAAATTAATTTTCATTAGATTTTATAATGTGTTTATTACTTATAATTACAGCAAACATGCGTAAAAAACAATGTTTTGTATTTTTAAATAAACACACAGAGCAGGAAAATGTGAAACAACTTTATTCATCTGTAATTTTACACTGATAACTGTGTTTTTACAATGATAACTACTAAATTAACACTCGAAACTCAAAAAATGGTACAACCAAGTTAAAAAAACGATGGATTCTTATAATTTAAAATAAGACTTTGACTGTATTTTTACAGCATAATTATTGAAAAAGTTGATTTTCCTGTATTTTACAGGTATATTCTCTTATTATGAAAAACACAGAAAAAAACTGTATTTACTTAGTCAATGTCTGTAAAAATAAAAACCTTTTTTTTACAGTGCACCTTTTCTGGCTTAAGGCTCGACCCCTGAGCGCAGAGAGCCAGACTGCCAGTGAGTTGTGGTTGTGATGTCACAACACATGGAGGTTTGGTTGGATCTGATTGGTCTAACTGTACAGGCAATTTAAGCTCTCTGTGTTATCCCAAAATTATCAGCACAAATTAAACTTTTCATGTTTTATTCCACATGTTTTTCTGCTGTGTTCACCAAAATGAGAACTCAGCACTGAAAATGCTGTTAGAAATCATAAAAACATAATTAATTTTAGAAATTATGAAAAAACAAAGCAATAAACAGATTCATTGTTTCCCACTTTCCAAAAATGAATATGTGAAAAACGAAATCTAGTCTAAACAGTTTAAATGTGTCCGTTAGTTAATCATCTCACACATCTCACAATCATGTCGCAGCCTGAGGCGCCGCAATGTAACTGCTGCACCATTTAAGGTGGAACGGAAAATTGTAATCAGGCCTAATTCGGCTTCAGCTTCGACTTCAGCGCTCGCGAGTCCAAAATAAACCCTAAATCTGCTGCACTACAAACGGCAGCGCGCGCAGATTCCGCTTTAAAATGGAACAGCTCGTGAGGATTCAGATTACACACACACCCCTCCCAGCGTTTGTCTCGCGCTGTGTGACTCCAGCTTTCCTGTCTCTGATCTTCAGGTCAGAGCAGCGCGCGCTCCGAGCTCCTTCTGGTCTCTTTGTCCGGTTTGCGGAGTTTTAATGAGGTTTTTGGTGAGTTTCTCTTTCAGTCTTTTGTTTGACTCGCTCGCGCCGCACTGAGGAGGATGAAGATGAAGATGAGGGCCGCCTTATGGATGAAGATCTTTTCTTTAGTTCTGGCCCTCGGTGGACGCTCAGCGTTTGCCCAGAGTGCCCGGATGGATGGAGAACACACTGTTTTTCCAAGTTCGGACTTCAGTCTGGACATTAACTCCAAATCAAACGCCGCCGCTTCTCTCGCCTTCGTCTTTGACGTCACCGGCTCCATGTATGATGACCTCCAGCAGGTGATCGAAGGAGCCTCCAGAATTCTGGAGAAGACTCTGAACCGCAGAACCAGAACCATCGAGAACTTCGTTCTGGTGCCTTTCCACGACCCAGGTACTGACAGAGCCTCGTTCGTCCTGAAAATGAGTGAGGTGGTTTCTGAGAAGCTGCGAGATCAGCTGAGCTGAAGTGCAGGTCTGAGGAACATCTTAGTATGAATAATAATAATAACAACAATAAGTGATAATAACTCTGAGCCGTTAGTGATAATGCAGAACAGAGACTCTGCTGCAGTGAAAGGCTCAGTCACCAGGGGGCGCTGACGTGTCTCTAAGTTCATATGATCGAACTTTAATGTTCATAATAGTTTTTTAGAGATTCTGACTTTTTAAGTATTTTGGATTAAGAGTTCTAACGTGTTTTAATGTTTTATCATTTTAGAATTTTAGACATTTATTGTTTTAGTGTTTTGATGTTTTATTGTTTTAGAGTTTTGATGTTTTTGATGTTTTGATGTTCAGGGGGTTTCGGGAGCTCATGCTCCTGTTCAGGGGGTTTCAGGAGCTCACGCTGCTGTTCGGGGGTTTCAGGAGCTCATGATGTGATTGTCCCCCACCCTTACCACTCAGAGCCCAAAGCTCCAATAAAAGACCCTCCAAGAAGGGAAAGCAAGCATGTTGTGGATGGCAGGGGTTTTTTGTCTTTTCAGACAAAAAACCCCCCATAAACCACAAACAGCATTGAGTCTGACAGGCAGACAGACTCCCCTTTGTAGGAACTCTCTCAGTAGATCACTCTGATGTTCTCCGTAGCACAACACCCTCTCTTCAGTGTGAATTTAGGACTGTATTTTCTCTGCTTTTTTTTTTTTTTGGCTGATGGGATGTTGTGTGTTCTAGATATTGGACCAGTGTCCATCACTACTGACCCCAGAAAATTTCAGAAGGACCTGCAGGAACTGTTTGTCCAGGTTAGAACAATCTGAGATGGATTTTATCAAATTCTTTTGAACATTTTATTCTGCAGAAATTCAGTGTAAATGTATTCATCTTTTTTCTGAGTGATTATATGTTTACATGGCAACACCTCAAACTGATAGACTGTCCTTAAAAAATATTCTGCTGTTCTCTCTCAGTGTTTATTCATTTATGCCCACAACTTCTGCTCCTCTGTCCCACATTTAGGCAGCTTTAAAAATGGTTGATTAAATTCAGTTCAGTTTTACAGAAACAACAAGATTATGAGTTCAGGTAAAATTTAATAGAGCTCCGGGTGGATATAAATACTCAGTAAATTCTCCTGTCTGCGGTCTCCTCAGGGTGGAGGAGATTGTCCAGAGATGAGCATCGGTGCCATAAAGAAAGCTCTGGAACTCTCTCTGCCCGGATCATTCATCTACGTCTTCACAGATGCTCGAGCTAAAGATTATCGGTTAAAACAAGATGTTCTACAGCTGGTGCAGCTCCGCCAGTCTCAGGTATAGTACACCTATTAAGGTATAGTACACCCACACAGGTGTAGTACACCCATACAGGTATTGTACACCCACACACGTATAGTACACCCACACACATATAGCACACCTACACAGGTATAGTACACCCACACACGTATAGTACACCTACACACATATAGTGCACCTATACAGGTATAGTACACCCATACAGGTATAGTGCACCTACACACATATAGTACACCTGTACAGGTATAGTACACCTACACAGGTATAGTACACCCATACAGGTATAGTACACCTACACACATATAGTGCATCTACACACATATAGTACACCTACACAGGTATAGTACACCCATACAGGTATAGTGCACCTACACACATATAGTACACCTACACAGGTATAGTACACCCATACAGGTATAGTACACCCACACACGTATAGTACACCTACACACATAAAGTGCACCTACACAGGTATAGTACACCCACACACATATAGCACACCTACACAGGTATAGTACACCCACAGGTATAATACACCCACACACATATAGCACACCTACACAGGTATAGTACACCCACAGGTATAATACACCCACACACATATAGCACACCTACACAGGTATAGTACACCCACACAGGTATAGTACACCCACAAACGTATAGTACACCCACAGGTATAGTACACCTACACAGGTATACTACACCCACAGGTATAGTACACCCACACATGTATACTACACCTACACAGGTATAGTACACCTACACAGGTATACTACACCCACGCAGGTATAGTACACCTACACAGGTATAGTACACCCACAGGTATAGTACACCCACACACGTATAGTACACCTACACAGGTATAGTACACTTACACAGGTATAGTACACCCACACACGTATAGTACACCCACAGGTATAGTACACCTACACAGGTATAGTACACTTACACAGGTATAGTACACCCACACACGTATAGTACACCCACAGGTATAGTACACCTACACAGGTATAGTACACCCACAGGTATAGTACACCCACAGGTATAGTACACCCATACAGGTATAGTACACCTACACAGGTATAGTACACCTACACAGGTATAGTACACTTACACAGGTATAGTACACCCACAGGTATAGTACACCCACAGGTATAGTACACCCATACAGGTATAGTACACCTACACAGGTATAGTACACCCACACAGGTATAGTACACCTACACAGGTATAGTACAGTTATAAAAGTAGAACACACCTATACATGTTTAGTACATATACACAGGTACAGTATATTAATGAGCTTTACTCAAACTGTCTGCAGTGAAAAATAATATTTTTCTTTTTAAATGGCTCAAAATGCTCAGGTCATCAAAAACCTGCTTTTCCTTCTTCATGTTTCACTGTTGAGCCCCACGTCCACTCAGTCATCACTCTCTCACCGTTCTGTGAGTGCAGGTTGTGTTTGTGTTGACGGGCGATTGTGGAGATCGTTCTCATCCGGGTTACAGAGCGTATGAGGAAATCGCTGCCACAAGCTCTGGTCAGATCTTTCACTTGGACAAACACCAGGTCAACGAGGTGAGACACACCAAAACAAACACACTCAGAACTGTTTTTTGATCTATCATAATTCCAAACCAGGTCTGACCCTGTCCAGCCCAGTCCAACCCATATGACTCCCCCAGCAAGGACGTAGTCTCTATGCCTGACCACATCTCGGTTACTGACCATATCTCGGCCCCTTTTTTTTTACCAAATCTCAGTTTCTGTCCCTTTTCCTGACTGTAAATGTCCAGAAAGAGACAGAGAGAGAGTGAGAGAGATGAATAGTGAGAGAGAGAGAAGCACTAAGACATGGAGTTTCCTCTGTATGTTTGTAATCTATCAGGAAGTTGATCTGATTGATGTGCTCTGCTGCTCTGAGGGTGAAACTGGTAGAAGGGGATGTAGGTCATTCAGTGTGTTCTTCTGAGCGGGGGTCCGTGGGGGATGAGCACACATGTGGTTCTCATTAGAGCTTTTCCAGCTGTAAAGTCTGAGAGGAAGCAACTGCTGTTGCACTCGGGGGGCAGGGGGGAGGGGCGGCGGGGTGGGGGGTTCGAGCTAATGAAGGAATTAAAAAACTGGGCATGATGTCTTTCATTCTCAGAGCTTAAATATGTGTTGAATCAGCCTCATTACTCAAAGCGGTCAGTGTTTTGGCTCAGTGCGATTATGGACACTTCATAGAGTTCTATTCAGAGTGAACACATGAAACATCTTCAGCCTTGTAACATGAACGATATCCTACTGTTTCATTCGTTGAAAAAGAGCCTGAAAAAGTCTTGAAAGAAGAGCCTGATTTTCTTCTGTCCCACAAGGTCCTGTTCTTCAGTCGTCTGCAGGGTGAAGCTGTAAAAGGTAATTTAGGCCTGTGCCGGTTTGGCTGTTTGTGCTCAGACAGACGTTGGCATGTCTTTGTTCTGCAGGGTAATGACTCATTTCTCACCTTCAGTCATCTTACAGCCTGCAGGCTCAATGCTGAGATCACATCTGCTCTTTAAAGCCCAGATATCCAACGCTGCTCCCTGAGAGTCAGTTTACACTTTAACCCCCTCAGCTCAACCCGCAGATGTGACGTGTCGAATGTTAATGAATGCTGTGTAATGAAGCAGCACTGCTGCTGCACTGAGGGCTCTAAACTAAAGTACCGCACAGTGAAGACGCTGTTTATAGTCAGCAGCAGCTGCACAGTGTGCACTGTATTTTCTCTCTGACCGTCTGTCTGCTTTCACCAGCCCGTCTGTTTAAAAAGACTTCATCTGGAGTAGCTGAGAGACAGAGAGAGAGAGACAGGGAGAGAGAGAGACAGGGAGAGAGAGAGAGAGACAGGGAGAGAGAGAAACAGGGAGAGAGAGGAGACAGGGAAAGAGAGAGAGACAGGGAGAGAGAGAGAGAAAAAGGGAGAGAGAGAGACAGGGAGAGAGAGAAACAGGGAGAGAGAGAGAGACAGGGAGAGAGAGAAACAGGGAGAGAGAGAGAGAGAGGGAGAGAGAGAAACAGGGAGAGAGAGAGACAGGGAGAGAGAGAAACAGGGAGAGAGAGAGAAACAGGGAGAGAGAGAAACAGGGAGAGAGAGAGACTTTTCCTCTCTGTCTCACTGGTCTTATTTCAGCGTCACAGTGAGTGATGTTGAGCTCTAACAGACTCGTCTCTATCCAGCTTTCAGATTTAGTCCAACTCGCAAAACACAAAGCAAAATGTGAGCAAATCCTGCAGCTGATCTGGTGAATGAGGCAGAATGACACAGGACAATGAGGCAGAATGACTCAGAAGAACAGGGCAGAATGGCACAGGAGAACGAGGCAGAATGACTCAGGAGAACAGGGCAGAATGCTTCAGGAGGATGAGTCAGAATGACTCAGGAAAATGGGGCAGAATGGCACAAAAGAATGAGGCAGAATGCTTCAGGAGAACGGGGCAGTATGGCACAGTAGAACAAGGCAGAATGACTCAGGAGAACGAGGCAGAATGATTAGGAGAATTAGGCAGAATGATTTAGGAGAACAGGGCAGAATGACTCAGGAGAACGAGGCAAAATGATTTAGGAGAATGAGGCAGAATGACTCAGGAGAAAATGGCAGAACGGCACATGGTAATGATGCAGAATGGCTCGGGAGTCTAGTACCCATTTACTTTTTATTATGAACAACAAATGCTGAAATAGTCTGTCCTCTTATATCTTTTCAGGTTCTGAAATGGGTTGAAGAAACTGTCCAGGCCATGAAAGTCCACCTGCTCTCATCTGACCATGAGACTGACCAAGAAAGCAAGTGGGAGGTGCCCTTTGACCCCAGCCTCAAAGAGATCACTGTGTCCCTGAGTGGTCCAGCTCCACGTATTGAGCTCAGAGATCCGCTGGGTAACTTAAAAGATCCTAAAAACTCCTTACAGTAACTCTAAAGCTGTAACACCTCTTAACAGCAAGGCTGTGTTCAGACTGCAGGCGAATCGGATTTGTTTCTCAAATCAGATCTTTTGAGGCGACTGTTCACACTGTTATGCAGGTGATCAGAACAGATTGCCGTGGTAACGACGTAAGCGTCAGTAACTACGTAGCTATGCTGGTGACGGGATTTCAGACGCGGCTGCAGGAGAGATGGAGGAGCATCATCTCCTCTCCAAACTCCTCAGAACTCTCTCATCATCATGAATTTTGGAGCTCTTTTTGAATCCCAGCACTTCATCACTGTGGATTCAACATCGTCACTGTTTGTCGTGTTGTGAGTGACGAAAAAGACACTTTGAAATCCGATTTGAGCGTCCAGACTGAGACTCATCTGTAAAAATCTGATTACAGTCGCATTTCAAACCAGCTACAAATGTGGTTTAGATCTGATTTGCAAAAATCACATTCATGTTTTTTTTGCTGTCCAGACCATCAAACATTCATCTGGATGTGCCAAAAATGGGATTCGGGCTGGCAGTCTGAACACAGCATAAGTGGCATGAGTAAGCAGAAACAACTAAATGCTCTTATTTTAATAAACGAAGTGCTCCACTCCAGCCAGGAGGTCCAGAGCAGAATGTGACACTGCATCATATTGTGATATTTAACTCAACACAAATATTCCAGCAATCCTGCTGCTTCATTAAAATGTGTTTGAACTAGACCAAATGGGAGGAGGAGATTAGAGAGCTGTACAACACGTCGTTTCATAAACCTGTGGGCTTTGAAACACAGATATTTTGTTGATCTGAAAACCTGTTCAGCACCTGGAGAACAGCTGTATTTTGTTTAGGTCGGACTGTTGGAGAGAGGCAGGGCTTGACGGAACTGCTGAACATTCCAAACTCTGCTAGAGTGGTCAGCCTGAAGAACCCTCGTCCTGGCCTGTGGACACTAAAGGTGCTGTTTGTTTTATTCAGTCAACTATCACGCTCCATACCTGAGCACCTGTCGGTCACAGACGTTCTTCACACATCTGTAAGATAAGTTTCCTTTACCTGTAGGTGGCCTGTAGTGGACGCCACACTCTCAGAGTGACCGGAGTGAGTAATCTGGACTTCAGGGCAGGATTCTCCAGTATCCCGGTCACAGAGTTTGTTAGGACCAGGGAAAGGCCCATCAAAGGTACTGTCCGTCATCCTGTGTGGGCGCTGGTCTGATGTTTGTTGTTGTTTGTTGACGTTCCTTCGTGTTTCTGCAGGTGTTCCAGTGCATGTGCTACTGAAATGCTCTGGCCTGAAGCCCCCTGGTGTGGTCAGTAGTATGGAGTTGGTGTCCACAGCAGGACGTTCACTGCACTATATTCCAGTGCCTTTACCTCCAGACGGAGGAGCAGGTGGACTCTGGAATGTTCCAGAGTTTCAGACACCCTCTCAGGGCTTCTTCCTCAAAGTGCTGGGCAAAGATGGAGACGGCTACGATTTCCAGAGACTCTCCAGTGTGTCTTACACCAACATTAACCCAGGTACCATCTGGGTCTCTCTCTCTCTCTCTCTCTCTGTTTCTCTCTCTGTCTCTCTCTCTATATGCTGGGAGTTGGGCGGTGTGAGAGTGCTGTGGTGTGTTGGAGAGTTTTCACTTTTTCTCTTTTTTCTCGTATCTTTCTTTGACTTCATTTTCTGATTGTTAGTGTTTACTGTGGTGTGTGTAGCCACTGTGAGCGGTGAGCGGCCATGGCGCCTTCTCTGTCCCTCTCTAATGGCTTTAGATGTGTCCCAGCCGCTGAAGCTACAGTCGAGGACGTGCTTTTAGCGGTGGGCGGCAAAGTTGGAAATGACCAAATTTACTCCGCCTCGCAAATGAGCAAAGCTGTCCTCTTTTTAAAAGACGAGTGTTTGGTCAATCAGCTGGTCGAGAGCGGTATTTGGGTTTTGGAGACCTTTGTGCCGGTGTCTCCGCTTCAGACGCCGGCCACAAAGGTCACCATCTCCAATGTCCCGCCGTTTATTTCAGACGAACTAATCGCTAAGGAGCTGAGCCGCTTCGGAAAATTCGCCAGTGCGATATCGCTGATCCCGCTCGGCTGTAAGGCCGCGGCGCTCAAACACGTCCTGTCCTTCAGGCGGCAGGTGTTCATGTTTCTGAACAGCCCTGATAAAACGCTGGAGGCCTCTTTCCGCGTCGCTCACGGAGAGAGCTCGTTCATGGTGTACGCCAGTACGGATAGCTTGAGATGTTTTGAATGCGGTGATATCGGCCATAAGCAGTTTGCGTGCCCACATAAAAATCAGACGGTAGCTCAGGAGAACCAGGTCTCCACTGCGGCCGAGCGCAGGGAGACCGCCGAGGTGGATGTGACCCAAGACCCCGGTGAAGGCACGTCCTCGGCTCGGGAGGTGAACCGTGGAGAGGAGGTGAGTGAGCGTTTGGGTGTGGAGAATGTTCAGGAGAGTGAGGGGGATCAGCGGCAGGCAAGTCAAGGTCAACGTGTGGCTGGTGTTGGGGTCAGTGGTGAGGGTTGTGCTGTAGTGGACAGTGGTGAGGTGGCTGGGCCGAGTGGTGAGGGGTGTTGCACTGCAGGGTCTATGTTTGTGAGTGAGTCTGAGTCTGAGTCGATCGTGCAGGTGGAGGAGGTCATGGATGAGGAGGACAGGCTGTCTGAGGTGTCTGATACTGGGGGCAGTCAGTTCAGCAGTGAAACGCTGTACACGGTGGATCAGATCAACTCGTTCCTAGATGAGACTAAAGGCAGACCTGTAGACGTCAGCGATTTTTTCCCTGATTTGGACAAGTTTGTGTTCAGTGTTGAAGGAGCAGAGGAGTGTTGGCTATGATGTTCTCTCGCGGCAAAAATGTTTTCGTCTAAAGAAACATGTAACTGCGGTCCGAAAGGCTAAATCTGCTAAGTCTGGTACTAGAGCTGGTTCTGACCGTATGAATGTATGAGCTCAGTGCACGTGGGGAAAGGGCCTCTCCTGTCTGCTTTTCCCGTTCTCTTCTCTGTTCTCTCCTATTTCCTGCGTTGATGGGGCTTCTGAGGGTGGACTCTCTGAACGTTGACGGGTTGAGCGATAGGGGTAAACAGTCTGTGTTTTCTGAATTCTTTAGCCTAAAGCAGTTAAACGTACGTCTTTTCTAAGAGACCCACAGCAGTGAGGATGGGGCAGCTGATAGGGGTTTGTGGTGGAGGGGAGATTATTTTCTCAGTCACGGCTCTGATGTCAGTGCAGGAGTGGTCATACTTTTCTCACAGTCTTTAAAGGTTACAGTGTTGTCTAAGAGTGAAATAGAAGCAGGGCGCTTACTGATGATTAGGGCTAAGATTGATGATCACATTTTTGTTTTTATTAATGTGTACGCTCCTAATAGAGGACCTGATAGAGTAGAGTTTTTTACCAGCCTGAAGCATATACTGCAGTCTCTTTCTTCTGGGGACATCACTGTTATGGGCGGGGCTGGAACTGCACATTAGATTTTACTAAAGACAGAAATGGGGAGGAACCACACCCCCAGTCTGCATCTGCTTTAGCCTCTGTTATATCTACATTTACTTTGACAGATGTATGGCGGGAAAAATATCCTATGGTCAAACGGTACACTTGGGTAAAAGTTTCTGCTGAGAGGGTTTTTGCAGCGCGACTGGACAGACTTTCCTAAAATGTGAGTCGTAGGGTCAGCCAGTCTAACATTTTTCCAACTTCTTTTTCTCATCATCATCTATGTACTGTTGATTTCTCAATTGTTTCTCAAGTTAGCAGAAGTTGTTTATGGTATTTTAATAGGAAACTGTTGTGAGACAAAGGCTTCTGTGAAAACTTTATTTTGTTTTGGGGGCAGTGGGTTGAAAAAAAGGGGGATTTTGATGGTCTAATGCAGTGGTGGGAGATAGGGAAGGTGCAGATTAAAATTTTCTGTCAGAATTTTACATCGTACTCCACAGCTAGGCTGAGGACAGCTATTAAAGTGTTGGAGCAGGATATTGTAAGGGTTCATGACCTTATGATAAATCAGAATGTCCCTGCTTTACAAACAGTTTTAACTACAAAGCGTCAGGAATTAGGTGCTATTTTAAATGAAAAAGCGAAGGGGGCTCTGGTTAGATCACGGTTTGTGTCTCTTAATGATATGGATGCTCCCACTACTTTCTTTTTTAATTTGGAAAGATCCACTGATGGTTGTCAGTTTTTGGCATCTTTGCGAAAGGACGATGGTTCCGTCACCTCAGACCCCGTCTACTACTCTGACTTGTTCACAGCTGGAGGTACAGACCAGTGTTGCTCAGAGGCGCTGCTTACAGATCTTCCTGAGTTGGATCAAGAGCAGAGTCAAGCACTGGACACTGCATTGACTTTTGAAGAGGTGACAGAAGCTGTGCATCAGCTCACCTCTGGACAAGCACCAGGAATTGACGGTCTACCTGTGGACTTTTACAAGGCCTTCTGGGGGGTCATTGGGAAAGATCTTCTTAGCGTTCTGCAGGCTAGCTTTGATGCCAAATTGCTTCCGCAGAGCTGCCAGCGTGCTGTCCTCTCTCTTCTGCCGAAGAAGGGAGACCTCTGCCTGCTTAAGAACTGGCGGCCGGTGTCGCTCCTTTGCACTGACCACAAGATCTTGTCACGCTGCATCGCCAACAGACTTAAAAAGTTTTTGACTCAATTGTACATGTAGACCAATCATACTGTGTACCACAGAGGTCCATCCATGATAACTTATTTCTGATTAGGGATATGTTAGACTATCCTTGATCAAGAAAAGGCTTTTGATCGTGTTGATCATGAGTACTTGTTTGATACTTTGAGAGCTTTTGGTTTTGGGGAGGATTTTTTATCCTGGGTAAGGTTACTGTACACTGGTGCTTCTTGCAAGATTAAGGTTGGAGGTGGTCTAAGTCATCCAGTCCCAGTTAGCAGGGGGATTAGGCAGGGCTGTCCGCTCTCAGTGAGCACTGGTGGACTTTTTCTGGAATGGTCAGCACTGGTTGAGAGCTGCAGTGTTATATCTTCCTGTACAGGAGGGTGGACAAGGGCTGATGGATATCCGCTCCAGAGTCGCTGTCTTACGCTTACAGGCAGTGCAGCGGCTGCTGTATCACCAACGTCATGCTTGGATGGATATGGCCTGTGCCCTTCTGCGGGTTGCTGGTTGTATGGGCCTGGACAGACAACTGTTCTCCCTTTCGCTGGGAACAGTGGACTTAGGAGGTTTGACTCCTTTTTACTCAGCAGCTGTGGAGGCCTGGCAGCTTTTTTCTTTCTCAAGGGAGGGCTGCGCAGTTCCATCCAAGTGGATATTCGAGGAACCTTTGTTCTTTAACTCTGCATTTCCGACACTGTCCCGGGTCTCTGGTGCACTGAGGGACAGCTTCTTGGAAGCTGGCATCAGTAAACTTCGCCATGTGAGGAGGGGTACAGCGTGGATCACAGCGGAACTGTTGGCAGATATGGTTGGTCTCAGGTCAGTGCGCATAGTTTCACAGGTATTAGACCAGTTGAGGTCTGACCTGTCTGTCTCAGTTCTAGAATATCTGGATACAGCACCTGTGGAGGACTGCCGGAGTGAAATGGTGGATTTTCCAGAGCTGGTGGTCAGAGTGGAACGGGAGGATTGGCAGGATGGTCAAGGGAAGCTCCTTTCACTAGGGACCCCAGCTCTTGGGAACTTTAGTGGACTAAACAAACGGTCATTATATTTTGCCTGCACTAAAGTCTTGAATTTTCGGTCTCTTATGGATCTGCGGGAAACCAAATGGACTGAGGTTGTGGGGGCGTACTCGTCACCTAAAGGTAGCTGGCGGTCTCTGTACAAAAGGCCCATTGAAAAGAGAGTGGGAGACCTCCAGTGGAGGATTGTACATTGGATACTAGCCACAAACAGGCACGTGGCACGACTTGATCCTTTAGCTGGGGATGGGTGTCCTTTTTGTGGGGTTTCTGAAACATTGTTTCATATTTTCGTACAGTGCTCTCGCCTACGCCAGATTTTAAATTTAGTTAGAAACTGGAGTTTAGCGATTTTGGGTGTCTTTGACCAGAGCTTATTTCTCTACGGACCAAAGCATTCTGTCTCAAGGAGGGACGAGGTCATACTTTTAAACTTTTTATATGGAGCAGCGAAACTGGCTATTTGGTGTAGCAGGAAGAACAGGATCAAAGGGCGTGGAGGAACTGATCCTGTTTTAATGGTGAGGGGTTTGGTGTCAAGGCGACTCCTGTTGGAATATGCCTACTACACCCTCACTGATGATGTAGACACATTCTTTGCTGTGTGGGGGGTGGGGGGTTTCGTCTGTGAGCCTGACGATCAGGGTGGGTTTGTAATAACTTTGTGAAGGAGACAGTTTGTGGTGTGTTTGGAAAACTTAACGGTTTAATCTGGATAACAAAGGTTGTTTGTGTGTGTTTCTCTCTCTGTCTCTCTCTCTATCTGTCTCTCTCTCTCTGTCTCTTTCTCTCTCTCTGTCTCTCTCTCTATCTGTCTCTCTCTATCTGTCTCTCTCTCTCTATCTGTCTCTCTCTCTCTGTCTCTTTCTCTCTCTCTCTCACTCTCTCCATCTCTCTCTCACTCTCTCCCTCTCTCTCTCTCTCTCCCATCTCTCTTCCTCTCTTTCTCTCCTCTGAACTGCAGGAGCTCCCATGGTGACTGTTCCTGTGGCGGTCAGGATTTTGTCCATGCAGTCTGCTCTGATTGACTGTTCTGTGGAGAGTGACCTGCCCTATAAACTGACCTTCACCAAAGATGGAGTGATGATAGGAGAGGAAAAGAACTACGAGTGAGTGTTTTTTTCTTTTTTCTCTTTTTTATACTCTCTCTCTCTCTCTCTCTCTCTCTCTCTCTCTCTCAATTCAATTCAATTCAATTCAATTCAAATAACTTTATTGGCATTAATTGTAGTGAACAATTGTTGCCAAAGCAATTAAAATATCCTAGTAGAATATGAAGATAATGGTGAAGAAGGAAATAATGTATAAAAGAAAGAGTAAAATAATAAAATATTCATATGTACATACACACATATACATACACACACATACACACATATACATACACACATATACATACACACATATATACACACACACATACACACACATACACACATATACATACATACACATACACACATATACACACACACACATACACACATATACATACACACATATACATACACACACATACACACACATACACACATATACATACACACACATACACACATATACATACATACACATACACACATATACATACACACATATACATACACACACATACACACACATACACACATATACATACATACACATACACACATATACATACACACACATACACACATATACATACACACACATACACACATATACATACATACACATACACACATATACATACATACACAACATCAAATAAATAAATGATACGTTTACAGGGGATCAGTTTAAGGCGCTGTGTCACTCTGTTCTCTGCGTTTGTGGCAGCTGTGAACATATTTAGCTGATAGTTCAGCACATTCTGGAGTCTCTCCTAAACACACCCCTAACAGATCTTCTGTTTTAGTCATTTTCTCTTTAAATGATGGGATATAAGTTGTAACTGAGCTGAATAATCTTCTCTGAGGTCTTTATATTTGTTACAGGAGGAGAGAAAGTGCTGCTCTGTTTCTGTTTGTCCTGAACTGCACTGATTGCATACTCGTTCTTCTCTGGGCCTCCAGTGTTTTATGGCCTTTTTCTATTTCTAAACTGTGGTCACTCAGTCTGAACACTGTTAAGATGTTTCTTTCTTTGGGTTTTATTTTGATCAGATAATCTGCTAGTCTGTATTCTCTCTTCAGGATCTGCAGCATTCGAATTTATTAACTGTGGCAATTTCACTGGTCCAATTTTTGATGTATTGTTTTTGGTATGTTTTGTGGATCATTCTGATCTGTGTTGGTGAGATGGTGGACTGGGCTGTGGTGTGTGATGGTGAGATGGTGGACTGGGCTGTGGTGTGTGATGGTGAGAGGGTGGACTGGGCTGTGGTGTGTGATGGTGAGATGGTATACTGGGCTGTGGTGTGTGATGGTGAGAGGGTGAACTGGGCTGTGGTGTGTGTTGGTGAGAGGGTGGACTGGGCTGTGGTGTGTGATGGTGAGATGGTATACTGGGCTGTGGTGTGTGTTGGTGAGATGGTGGACTGGGCTGTGGTGTGTGATGGTGAGATGGTGTACTGGGCTGTGGTGTGTGTTGGTGAGATGGTGGACTGGGCTGTGGTGTGTGATGGTGAGAGGGTGGACTGGGCTGTGGTGTGTGATGGTGAGATGGTATACTGGGCTGTGGTGTGTGTTGGTGAGATGGTGGACTGGGCTGTGGTGTGTGATGGTGAGATGGTATACTGGGCTGTGGTGTGTGATGGTGAGAGGGTGGACTGGGCTGTGGTGTGTGATGGTGAGATGGTGGACTGGGCTGTGGTGTGTGATGGTGAGATGGTGGACTGGGCTGTGGTGTGTGATGGTGAGATGGTATACTGGGCTGTGGTGTGTGATGGTGAGATGGTGGACTGGGCTGTGGTGTGTGATGGTGAGATGGTATACTGGGCTGTGGTGTGTGATGGTGAGATGGTGGACTGGGCTGTGGTGTGTGATGATGAGAGGGTGGACTGGGCTGTGGTGTGTGATGGTGAGATGGTGTACTGGGCTGTGGTGTGTGATGATGAGATGGTGGACTGGGCTGTGGTGTGTGATGGTGAGAGGGTGGACTGGGCTGTGGTGTGTGATGGTGAGATGGTATACTGGGCTGTGGTGTGTGATGGTGAGATGGTGGACTGGGCTGTGGTGTGTGATGGTGAGATGGTGGACTGGGCTGTGGTGTGTGATGGTGAGAGGGTGAACTGGGCTGTGGTTTGAAGGTGATGTTTATCTGTGAGGGGTCTGAGGGGGTCTGTTTCTGGGTGTGTGCGGTTGCTGAGGTGCGCTGTGTGGTGGTAGGACTCTGGATGTGCCTGTGTGAGGTGATGGTGGAATTTTAAAGCTCGTTGGGGAGGGAGAGAGGAAACTCGCCCAGCTCTGCTCTGCATGCCAGATTGGCTGCATTGCGACGTCTTTACAAAATTCTAAATGAAATTTTTCTATATGGGTCGTGTCCCATAATGTGTCTTTTTGATAAATTATTGGTCCCCATACTTCACTGCCATACAAGAGTATGGGTTTAATTAGATAATTAAATATTTTTAGCCAAATTTGGATTGGTGGGTTGAGTGTGTTTATTGATCGTTTAATAGTAAAATATACTTTTCTTGCTTTTCCAGTGCATTCATTGTCTTGTTAAAATTACTAGATGCATTGATTATTAGTCCTAATTATATTCCCTAGTGTGCTGTAATAAAGTCTCGCCAAACGTAAAGTGGAATTTTATTGATGTTGATGTCTAATGCCCAATTTTGACAATAGTCTTCTAATAAGTTTGTGTTTTTGTAAGCCTTGTGCTGCAGGAGCTAGGAAGACCAAATCATCTGCGTATAAAAGGAATTTTATTTCTTTCTTATTCAGTTCTAATCCTACATTTGATGGTTGTTCCAGGTTGTTGATGTATACGTTGAAGAGGGTTGGGGATAAGTTACAGCCTTGATGCTCCACGTCCTTGTTTGAAGAATTCTGTTCTTTTGTTCCCTAATTTAATTGCACATTTGTTATCATTATATTTGGATTTAATTAAATCATAGACTTTTCCTCCTATACCATTTTGGAGTAATTGGAAAAACTTTTTTTATATAAATATAAATAACATTTTTTTTATAAACTCTCTCTCTCTCTCTCTCTCTCTCTCTCTCTGTTCTTTCGTTCATCTGAGCTTTGTGCTGTTTGTTACACTGTAAACACTTTTGCAGCCGTTCTCTCTGCAGATACACTCTGAGGAGAACAGCTGGAGAAATTAACGTCTGTTGAGGGTTTTTTCCTCCAGCTGCTGATGGGATGTCATTTTTCATCCCTTCATTTTTTCCCTTGTTCCTGTGAACTGTTAGTGAGTGCAGCTCTGCGCTGACGTTCATCTCAGGTGTTTATAAACGAGAGTCTCCGCAGAAAATGTAAAAACGACGTTTTCTGTCTGTTTTAAATGAAATCCAGACGAACGCGACTCACAGACCTGTTTAACTCTGTTTCATGTGACTCTGAATCACAGTAAGATTTTAACCACATGCTTTTACACTTGCTGATCGATGAGCGTCTCCAGTTAGACAGATCAAAATCTGCTGTGTCGCTCCTTGTTTTTCCTGTTTTGTTCAAAAAATAAAAGATAGTTGATTAAAGCTAAAAATGCGCTGTAAATAATTTACTGTATCAAGACGGTGAATAACGACGAGCTGAAGTATAGTTTAACCAAACTGGAGCTTTATTTTAATGAGTTCGGACACTGAAGGCTCCTCAATTAAAGGAGCAGCAACGCCTCTATTTAGTGTCAGGTGGGCGGAGTCTTCCCCATATGCAGAGCAGCAGAGGGAGGAGTCTCATTGGTGGGGGAGGATTTGGCTGTTGAATGTTATTTGGAGTGACAGACGTCCTGAAGTGGTTTGAGAGATCAGATTTAAATCTGTATTAAGTGTGTTTGAGTTCACACCTACATCTGAATCTGAATCAGAAACATCTCAACCCGGATTTAATCCTGATACTCAAGATGCACGAGAAACAAAACTGAATATCACACTGTTTTGTGTGTGTGTGTGTGTGTGTGTGTGTGTGTGTGTGTGTGTGTGTGTGTGTGTTTCAAGGTCTTCTGCTAGAGCATCATGGGAGATTTCTCGTGCTTCAGTGAAGGACGAGGGTGTTTATGAGTGTGTGGCTCGCAGTGTTGCTGGAGTTGGACGAGCTCTCACACACCTCACTGTTACAGGTACACACACACACACACACCTCACTGTTACAGGTACACACACACACACACACCTCACTGTTACAGGTACACACACACACCTCACTGTTACAGGTACACACACACACCTCACTGTTACAGGTACACACACACACATACACACCTCACTGTTACAGGTACACACACACCTCTCACTGTTACAGGTAC